TAACCCAAACTCCCAAAAGAACTCCCTCTCGCACTATAAAAGGACGTCCTCATAAAAATGTTGGTTTCGCGCCTTGTGAGTTTGAGCTTCTCGAGCAAGCTTCACTAAAACACTCCWCTGTTCTCTCCGGCGAATCTTGTTCTTACCTGCCGCCGTCGATCCTTGCCCAATCCTCCGGCGATACTTACCTCCCAGAGTTACATGAATTCGCAACAATGGTACTCTCTCAATTTCTTGAATATTAACAAGTTTTTAAAAATGTAACCTTTTTTTACAACTTCGTAAATTGTCTTCTCCCTTTTGTTGGAATTCGGGATGTAGATACTTGTAAATTGTATTGCAAGTGATGAATCGAACTAGTGTTTAGAAGCTGTTTCTATTTTTTGGGGATCCAGATAAATTGTTATAACTTTCTTTTCTTGATTGGATGCTTCCTTACRTTTGGTRTTTTTGCTAGGGTTCTGCATAATTAGGTACAAAATTAAGTTAGTATATTGTCTTCTCCCTTTTGTTGGAATTCGGGATGTAGATACTTGTAAATTGTATTGCAAGTGATGAATCGAACTAGTGTTTTGAAGCTGTTTCTATTTTTGGGGATCCAAATAAATTGTGCTATAACTTTCTTTTCTTGATTGGATGCTTCCTTACATTTGGTGTTTTTGCCAGGGTTCTGCATAATTAGGTACAAAATTAAGTTAGAATCCTTCCAAGTATCTAACCATGGTTGTGAAAGGTGCTTTTAAGGTGTAATGCCTTAAAAGGCCACCATGGTTGCGGCAGATGGTGGCACCTGCCAATAATTTCTTGCAACAAGGTTCAGATTGAGATTTTAGTGAATAAAAATTGTTTTGTGTAATGCCCTTTTAGTTTAAATGGAATCCTAACGTACTAGGCATCTACTTCCACTACTATACCACCAAAAGTGAAGAGAAAAAAATGGAACAATCAACATTAGGTTCTTCGCTCTACCTCAAACATGTCTCTTCTCTTGATGATCTGTTTCTTGACTTGAGATTAATTTTAGTGGTTTATAGGTTACTAATGTTTATGTTAATTGTTAAATTGATGAATTTTTAACTGGTTCATGTGAGTGCCCATGGTTTTCTGGTCAATATTAATTGGTATTAGTATTAATGTTAGAAGATTACTGATTGAATGTTATTGATGCTTTTTTCCATGTGCCATTCATGTTAATATAGATGTTATATGTTGTAAATTGTATTAAGTTCAATGTTTTAGGCATACATGCCTCTTTTTGATGATTCCTTTGTATGTATGTGTAATAAAGAAAGAAAGAAATATGCCGGCAGCCGTCCTAGTTGTGCTTTAAAACATGCATTTTGGATTTGGAACCACCCAAAGCCATATCTTAGAAAAGCACAATTTGGTTGGCTGCAAGTTAAGTTTCGGCTATGTTTGGCAAACTAGTTAATGGCTAATAAGCTTGTTGTTAGCTAATAARACTAGTCATATTTGATAAAAMYWMCYWAWWA